TTGATAGCCCTTGTATCGTAAGCTCCTGTGTTGATAGCCCTTGTATCGTAAGCTCCTGTGTTGATAGCCCTTGTATCGTAAGCTCCTGTGTTGATAGCCCTTGTATTGTAATCTTCTGTGTTGATAGCCCTTGTATTGTAAGCTCCTGTATTGATAGCCCTTGTATCGTAAGCTCCTGTGTTGATAGCCCTTGTATCGTAAGCTCCTGGGTTGATAGCCCTTGTATTGTAAGCTCCTGTGTTGATAGCCCTTGTATCGCAAGCTCCTGTGTTGATAGCCCTTGTATCGTAAGCTCCTGTGGTGATAGCCCTTGTATCGTAAGCTCCTGTATTGATAGCCCTTGGATCGTAAGCTCCTGTGTTGATAGCCCTTGTATTGTAAGCTCCTGTATTGATAGCCCTTGTATCGTAAGCGCCTGTATTGATAGCCCTTGTATCGTAATCTTCTGTGTTGATAGCCCTTGTATCGTAAGCTCCCGTGTTGATAGCCCTTGTATCGTAAGCTCCTGTGTTTATAGCCCTTGTATCGTAAGCTCCTGTATTGATAGCCCTTGTATCGTAATCTTCTGTGTTGATATCCCTTGTATCGTAAGCTCCTGTGTTGATATCCCTTGTATCGTAAGCTCCTGTGTTGATAGCCCTTGTATCGTAAGCTCCTTTGTTGATAGCCCTTGTATCATAAGCTCCGTTGTTGACCTTACTTCTGTGGTGAGCTCCTTTGTTGATAGCCCTTGTATCATAAGCTCCATTGTTGACCTTACTTCTGTGGTAAGCTCCTTTGTTGATAGCCCTTATATCCTATAAACTCCGATGTTGACCCTATTTCTGTTCCTCCTTGGCTCTCTTATGCTCACATGCATCTTGGTTTCCCCCAGGTATGGTTCCCACATTTAGTAGTAGTTCCTTGGTGCCTCTCTGCTCTGGTATGCTTTGGAAAGCGTATATATGTCTGCATCTCCCTCCTATGGTAATTTAGCCCCTTACAAGTATCCTTATCAGGTAAGCTCATGACAAGGGTTTTTTGTACAAACAAGTGTCTATTACCACATGCATTGAACTTAGTAGAATAAAGACGAGACAATCTGTGTGTTAGTTGACATTTGGTCACAATCCAGACAAACTTATTGATGGGTCAGCTGATAGACTCAGGTTGATACTATAGAATGTTCTTCTGCTGCTCCTCGACTCCCAAAGGGCCCTGACTCCCAAAGGGCCCTGACTCCCATAGGGCCCTGACTCCCAAAGGGCCCTGACTCCCAAAGGGCCCTGACTCCTAAAGGGCCCTGACTAGTGACATAAACAATAACTCTAATCTCCCCCTCTACATACAGAAGATATGTTCCGATACTGTTTCTGACAGGCTCAGTCGAGAATCATACAGAACTGTTGTGTTTTGCTCACCCTTTGTACATGTAGTGGCTGGCGTCCATGGTCGAGTCTTCTCTGTACCACATCACAAAACAACAAACACGACTATCACATCGCATGACTTAAGCTTGTCACTGGTATTGGCATCTATATATGGTCCATTCACACTTTTTCTATAAAATTAACTTGGTCCTGGAAATGGCAATCAGGTTTGTTCGAATGAATTACCATGATTAACCTGTACTGAGAGACCTGACGTACCTGCATTAAGAAAAAGTTTTTTGGACTTACCAAAAGTGGTCTCAGGTTTGAGGGTATATATCTGTAGGTTAATCTGTTGAAATGTTATTGGACACTAAAGTTGTGAGTGAATTAAGTTTTGAATAGGCATAAAGACACGGTAACTCTGGTAAAATGTATACACCTATTTAGAGACCAATTTAAATTGTAGTGATTTCATTGTGAACTAAACATGTTTAAAGAGACCAGTTGTATTAAGAAACCACCTGTGTTAAGGGACCACCTGTGTTAAGGGACCACCTGTATTAAGATACCACCTGTGTTAAGATACCACCTGTGTTAAGTAACCACCTGTGTTAAGATACTACCAGTGTTAAGATACCACCTGTGTTAAGGTACCACCTGTATTAGATACCACCTTTGTTAAGATACCACCTGTGTTAAGGTACCACCTGTGTTAAGGTATCACCTGTATTAAGATACCACCTGTGTTGAGATACCACCTGTGTTACGAACCACCTGTGTTAAGAGACCTACTGTATTAAGAGACCACCTGTGTTAAGATACCACCTGTGTTAAGGGACCACCTGTATTAAGAGACCACCTGTGTTAAGATACCACCTGTGTTAAGATACCACCTGTGTTAAGATTCCACCTGTTTTAAGATTCCACCTGTGTTAAGACACCACCTGTGTTAAGGGACCACCTGTATTAAGAGACCACCTGTGTTAAGATACCACCTGTGTTAAGATACCACCTGTGTTAAGACACCACCTTTGTTAAAACACCACCTTTGTTAAGACACCACCTTTGTTAAGAAACAACCTGTGTTAAGACACAACCAGTGTTAAGACACCACCTGAAATGTGACTGTCTTTACTTCCTTATATCTCTGATACTTTCCTTTTCACTAGGCCTGAAGTCATATTGTATCATTTAAAAGTGGCCTAATCTGATCTAACAAATGTGAAAACTGTGTGATACTAGTCTGGGGTACACCAGGTATTCTAGCTTGCCTTTTAACTTGCGGGCAAATTGTTTTGATATGCCGCAGGGAGCAGTGTATCAGTGTTGGTTAGCTTGTGCATGCTTGATAAAAGGAAACATCTATTTTTTATTTGATAAATTGAATTTCAAATATGGAATGAAAGTTTTGTAAAAATACTTTTATCAGGTCTCAAGTGATTGATTTTTTGTTCCATAAAAAATCAGTCTATGGTATGCAAAATGGTCTGGGCTTATGAGGGTCTGCTTTTGGCCATAATGGGTGTTAAGCTTAAATTAAGGTCAGTTCTCCAACACCATATTAAATGTGGTAGGGGTAATCGTAAAAGTGTTTGAGGGTCTGCTGTAGGCCAGAATGTGGCTTGTAGTTGTCGGTTAGAAGGGAATTTCATAGTTCTCCCTGCCACACCTAGTTTGTAATGTCACTCACAGCAATACGCTTGTGTGACACATATTTTAATAATATATATATATGTAAATATGCACTATAGGGTTCTGGAAAGATGTGGGTCACAGAGGTAATCTAATCCCAGGGGAAACATACAACTGTGTCAGTCCTGAGACAGCCTTATGTTACCTGTTAGTCCTGAGACATACTTATATGTTACATTCAGTCCTACGATATCCTAAATGTCAGTCCTAAGACAGAGTAATATTACTTAGACTAATGTATCATGTCAGTCCTAAGACAGCCTTATGTTTCCTGTCAGTCCTGAGAAATCTTTATGTTACCTGTCAGACCTAAGACATCCCTGTGTTACCTGTCAGTCTTAAGACATCCCTATGTTACCCGTCAGTCCTAAGGTATCCTTGTGTTACCTGTCAGACCTAAAACATCCCTGTGTTACCTGTCAGTCCTAAGGCATCCTTGTGTTACCTGTCAGTCTTAAGACATCCCTATGTTACCAGTCAGTCCTAAGTCATCCCTATATTTCCTGTCAGCCCTAAGGTATCCTTGTGTTACCTGCAAGTACTAAGACATTCTAATAGTCCTAAGACAGCCTAAAAATAGCTGTTAGTCCTGCGACACCTTAATGTTTCCTGTCAGGCCTAAAACATCCTAAAGAGGGTTCTGGAAAGATGTGGGTCACAGAGGTAATCTAATCCCAGGGGAAACATACAACTGTGTCAGTCCTGAGACAGCCTTATGTTACCTGTTAGTCCTGAGACAGCCTTATGTTACCTGTCATTCCTGAGATATTCTAAGATGACCTTATGTTACCTGTCAGGCCTAAGACATCCTAAACTTACTTGTCAGTCCTAAGATATACTTGTGTAACCTGTCAGTCCTAAGGTATCCTTGTGTTACCAGTCAGTCCTCAGACTACTATAGTTACTTGAGACCAGTCCTAAGACAGGTGAATATTACCTGTAAGTCTTAAGACAACCTAATATTACCTGTTTGTCCTAAGACATTCTAATATAACATGTCAGTCCTAGGACAACCTTATATTACCTGTTACATTCAGTCCTACGATATCCTAAATGTCAGTCCTAAGACAGCCTAAAAATATCTGTCAGTCCTACGACACCTTAATGTTTCCTGTCAGGCCTAAAACATCCTAAATAGGGTTCTGGAAAGATGTGGGTCACAGAGGTAATCTAATCCCAGGGGAAACATACAACTGTGTCAGTCCTGAGACAGCCTTATGTTACCTGTCAGTCCTAGATGACCTAATTATATTCCCTGTCAGTCCTAAGGCATCCTTGTGTTACCTGCAAGTACTAAGACATTCTAATAGTCCTAAGACAGCCTTAGGTTTCCTGTCAGTCCTTAGACGACCTTATACTTATATTAAAGATCAGTTCTAAGACCTCCTAACTGTCAGTCTTAATACATCCCTATGTTACCAGTCAGTCCTAAGTCATCCCTATATTTCCTGTCAGCCCTAAGATGACCTAATTTTATTACCTGTCAGTCCCAAGATGACCTAATTATATTACCAGTCAGTCCTAAGTCATCCCTATTTTACCTGTCAGTCCTGAGAAATCTTTATGTTCCCTGTCAGACCTAAGACACCAAAAAAAAATCTGTCAGCCCTACGACACCTTAATGTTTCCTGTCAGGCCTAAAACATCCTAACTGTCAACCCTAAGACATCCTAACTGTCAAGCCCTTGTATCGTAATCTTCTGTGTTGAGATCCCTTGTATCGTAAGCGCCTGTGTTGATACAAGGGCTATCAATCCAGGAGCTTACGATAGCCCTTGTATCAACACAGGCGCTTACGATACAAGGGCTATCAATACAGGAGCTTACGATAGCCCTTGTATCGTAATCTTCTGTGTTGAGATCCCTTGTATCGTAAGCTCCTGTGTTGATACAAGGGCTATCAACACAGGAGCTTACGATAGCCCTTGTATCAACACAGGAGCTTACGATAGCCCTTGTATCAACACAGGAGCTTACGATAGCCCTTGTATCAACACAGGCGCTTACGATACAAGGGCTATCAATCCAGGAGCTTACGATACAAGGTGTATTACTTAACTCAGGTGGTATCTTAACACTGGTAGTATCATAACACAGGTGGTTACTTAACACAGGTGGTTACTTAACACAGGTGGTACCTTAACACAGGTGGTATCTTAACAAAGGTGGTGTCTTAACACAGGTTGTTTCTTAACAAAGGTGGTGTCTTAACACAGGTTGTTTCTTAACAAAGGTGGTGTCTTAACACAGGTTGTTTCTTAACAAAGGTGGTGTCTTAACACAGGTTGTTTCTTAACAAAGGTGGTGTCTTAACACAGGTTGTTTCTTAACAAAGGTGGTGTCTTAACACAGGTGGAATCTTAAAACAGGTGGAATCTTAACACAGGTGGTATCTTAACAAAGGTGGTGTCTTAACACAGGTTGTTTCTTAACAAAGGTGGTGTCTTAACACAGGTTGTTTCTTAACAAAGGTGGTGTCTTAACACAGGTTGTTTCTTAACAAAGGTGGTGTCTTAACACAGGTTGTTTCTTAACAAAGGTGACAGGTAATATAAGGTCGTCTTAGAACTGTCAGTCCTAAGTTATCCTTGTGTTACCTGCAAGTACTAAGACATTCTAATATAACATCTCAGTCCTAAGACAACCTTATATAGTCCTAAGACAACCTTAACCTAAGACAACCTAATATTACCTGTAAGTCTTAAGACAACCTAATATTCCCTTTCAGTCCTAAGACATTCTTATATATGTCCATCCTAAGAAAACCTAATATTACCTGTTTGTCCTAAGACATTCTTATATTTCCTGTCAGTCCTTAGACGACCTTATACTTATATTAAAGATCAGTTCTAAGACCTCCTAACTGTCAGTCCTTAGTCATCCTAACTGGCAGTCCTAAGACAGCCTTATGTTTCCTGTCAGTCCTAAATCATCCTAACTGTCAGTCCTTAGTCATCCTAACTGGCAGTCCTAAGACAGCCTAAAAATAGCTGTTAGTCCTGCGACACCTTAATGTTTCCTGTCAGTCCTTAGACGACCTTATACTTATATTAAAGATCAGTTCTAAGACCTCCTAACTGTCAGTCCTTAGTCATCCTAACTGGCAGTCCTAAGACAGCCTTATGTTACCTGTTAGTCCTGAGACAGCCTTATGTTACCTGTCAGTCCTCAGACTACTATAGTTGCATGATACCAGTCCTAAGACAACCTAATATTACCTGTCAGTCCTGAGATATCCTTGTGTTACCTGTAAGTTCTAAGACATTCTAATATAACATGTCAGTCCTAAGACAACCTTATATTACCTGTCAGTCCTAAGATGACCTTATATTACCTGTTAGTCCTAAGACAACCTAATATTACCTGTCAGTCCTAAGACATTCTTATATTACCTTTCAGTCCTAAGACATTCTTATATTACCTGTCAGTCCTAAGACATTCTTATATTACCTGTCAGCCCTAAGGTATCCTTGTGTTACCTGTCAGTCCTCAGACTACTATAGTTACATGATACCAGTCCTAAGACAACCTAATATTACCTGTCAGTCCTAAGATATCCTTGTGTTACCTGTCAGTTCTAAGACGACCTTATATTACCTGTAAGTCTTAAGACAACCTAATATAACATGTCAGTCCTAAGACAACCTTAAATTACCTGTCAGTCGATAGACGACCTTATATTACCTGTTAGTCCTAAGACAACCTAATATTACCTGTCAGTCCTAAGACAACCTAATATTACCTGTCAGTCCTTAGACGACCTTATATTACCTGTTAGTCCTAAGACAACCTAATATTACCTGTCAGTCTTAAGACAACCTAATATTACCTGTCAGTCCTTAGACGACCTTATATTACCTGTCAGTTATAAGACAACCCTATATTACCTGTCAGTCCTAAGACCACCTTATATTACCTGACAGTCCTAAGACGACCTAATATTACCTATCAGTCCATGACAGTCAGACTACTATAGTTACTTGATACCAGTCCTAAGAAAGTGGGATATTTACTTTGTTAATCTGATGGGTTTTGGGGTTAACATCAATATCTACAAATTTGGCGTCTTTTAAATGTCTGGTATTTAAGGTTGGGAGATGAGTAGCTGATCTATATTAATTCCGTCTTTGCATATTGCAGAGTTATCTTCTCTTGAGAGCAGGTATTGATTGTTACATCATTGGTTTGTGTAAGAAAATTGTGTCGTTTTCTCAAAAATTGCTGACGTTACTCTCAAAAACAAATGACGTAACAATCAATATATGCTCACAAAAGAAGATAACTATGCAATACGCAAAGACGGAATAGTCAGACTGTAATTATATAGCCCTGCAGTAGTACAAACTTGAGGACAAAAAAGGTGGATTGTTTTAAATGAGATTTGAAGTGTGGCGGTATGGAACCCGTATCTATCTCCTCTTCTTACTACAAACCAACACCAAAATAGATTTTAACATGGGATTTTTTTTAGGTGTTTCAATGTAAAGGGCCTGAATTTTGTATCCTGTCACAGGCGTTTTATAGGCATTTCACTAATTCTATTTCTTTTATGCTCAGATATGCCTTAATTGTTCTTGAAATGGAAAAGACACTAGTGTGATAAGTGTTCAAATATAGTATCAGGAAGTGCCAAGGCTGATGCTGGTTTGTGGTAATATTTTCCTAGGACTGGTTTTTAATCTGTGATGAGGATATGGCTAAATCTTGTAATTGAGTCAATGATTTAACCATGCTGATGTGTTGACTCATTCTCGACCAGATTTATTGATGTGAATGCAGTTATGATGCACTATTACATAGTGTGAAAATAATGATTCAGTCACATATAGTGTTGAAGAATCATGCAGATACATCTTTTCATTATACAATGTTGATGCTGGGAAAATTGATATCCAAAGTATTTTTAATCTTAATTGTTAGAGTTTGTTTTTATGTAGCATTTACTACCATCCATAGTCATTTGTCAATTTGTTTTCAAAAGAATGATTTCAGAGGGTTTCCTATAGATTTTAGAGATTTTGTGTGTCTAAAGGATCGTATTTGATTTAACATGAACAAGTAAAAGTGTGCTGGGCTTACAAACCTGATTTCCCACCAAACCCGGAATCACCCATTGTGGTCTGGTGTGAGTTTTGACCTTGTAACCTTGACCTTGTAACCTTGACCTGAACAACCACCAAAATCTAGCGAGGTGAAGCGCTTTATGTCACCACTTACTAATTAAGGGGAAAATATAAACTGGATCTGAGGAAGAGTCAGCGACTGATATCTTTAACAAATTGATGCTTTTTACTTGATAGTGCTCTATTGTGACCTTTGACCTTTGACCTTTTAACCTTGACCATTGGATCACTTAAATCTCATCTGTTAATTGTAGAACTCAAGGTGACCATACCTACATTTTTGTACACTATACAGGCAGAAAAAAACATGGACCACATGATCACTACTATCCTGAGCTGGGGAATACGGAAAGTTATCAGGCCTCTTCTAGGATATAAAAGATGGGGTCCAATATGGGAAATAAGAGAAAATCTTTAAAGACCATTCGTTAAGTTTGGGAAAATATTTTGAATTTAAGTTTGAGATGTCAGATCATGCATCTCTTGGTGAAGGGCCAAGATTGAATGATGTGACTATATAGGTGTTAAGGCTGCCCTCTGGTGTCAAGGTCAGGGTCCAAAATAGAGGCTGCCAGAGTTAAATTCCCTGATTGGACGTGAAAGGTATGGGGTCAATTGCCTGCATGACCATGTGGGTAATTTCTTCTGTGTTCTCCAGTTTCCTAGCTCCCACATTAACTCATTCACCCCTGAAACTTCATAATGAACTATTCCAACCTTTGAAATGGAAGGGTTCAAATGAGTCTTCAGGAGTGAATGAGTTAAGACCCCCTCTTGCACGTTTTTTTTAACATATGTTATCCAAAATGAGATCACCTTTACCTCTGAAGTTATAATCATCTCAATTTCATCAAAACATGCTAATGATGTTCCTAATGAATTAATGTCCCTCTCATGGCCCTAACCGAGTGGTATTAATGGTAATTCACAATCACAAATTGCCATCTGTCCTCTAAATGGCTGAATAATCTTAATGATGGCTTTTATTTTCAACTATCACCACAATAGTTAAAACCAAAATGGGTAGAAATGATTACTTTCTCATGGTCCTGAACAGGTGTTGATATTTCTTTGTGTTAATTTGAAATCCAAGATGGCCACCATATCATCTGACTGGTTGAGACAAAATAAATTTTAATCAAATGTATCGTACAAATATTACTGTTATTTTCATTCTATTACTGCATAAGCGGAAATGTTTACATTTTTTGCATTTAGTGAATTAACACGAAATTATCTACACAGCAATATTTGTTTATAGATAGACAAATAAATAAATAAAGTTAAATAAATAGAATATTTTAGATTTCAGAACTTTAATTATTTGCCATGGTGAAAATTGCCACACTAAATTCAGTTTAAAGGGTCACAACGCAGAAATTTCCACACTCGGAAGTTTCCACTTTTCCAGTATCTGTGGCCAAGATTTGTTTGATCGGAAATGGTCACATCTGTGGCTATTTAGTGAAAACATATAACTCCCTATATACATATAGCTATCTACAGTCCAGATAACAAGTGTGATACAGGCCTGATAGACCTTTTGTTAAGCAAAATGTCTGTGTATCTATTTTTGGTGTGGACGGTTAGAAAATACAAAAGCTTCACTATTTCATCAATAGAAAATAGTCCGTTGTCTAATATGGTTTCATACACATTTATTACCCAAAGATAGAAAAATGAACTTTATAAAAAAATAAAATAAAAAAATGGAAGCTTTATCTTTCCTGCATTATATTGCCACATCCTGCATTTAATTTGGAGAGGAAAACTTTCATTTCCCTGACAGGGTGTGTGTCCGATGACGAGTAGAGTGGGTGCTTTGACACGTTAAGGCATTGAAGTGTGATCGGCATTTTGCCAAGACCAAAAGGAATTATGACAGCAAGGTAATGCACCAGCATACTTGATAAACCTCTACGAGACGTTTTGAAAAATAACAGCTTCTAATGGGTTTCTTTTTGTTTCTTTTTGAGGTTTGTAACCATAGAAACCAATTATTTGTTTTGATTTTGAATGTTATTAATCAGATATTCCTGGAAAACTATTTTGTTTACTGTGAAAACATAATTCTTACCTTTTTAATTTGATCAAGTTCAAATCATGACATTATTTTTTAAGTGCCTGCATGCTGTATTGGAGTACAAAGCACTAACTGTTTTGCCTATAGGAGTCTTATAAGTGCTATAGAATAGGTGTCTGAAGACGGAATTTAGTTTACACGTTTGGAACTTGGCCCAGATTTATCATGAAATCGAATGTTAATTTCATAAAATAAAAATAATAATTTCATTAATATCCCACTTGACCTCATGCAAATTGCAGCAGAGAATCATTTAGGTGTCAGTAATCAGAAATAAGTAACACATGTCGGATACTAGGTAAGAAAACTGGTAACAGAGGTTTCTGTTTCTACAGGAACCTGTGTCAGACTAAGTATGAGGTCTGGTTACAGAGGTTTCTGATTATACAGGTCCAATCCTGTGTCAAACTAATTAAGTCATCTGGTTACAGAGGTTTCTGATTATACATGCAGGTCCAATCCTGTGTCAGACTAATTAAGTCATCTGGTTACAGAGGTTTCTGATTATACAGGTCCAATCCTGTGTCAGAATAAGTAAGAGATCTGGTTACAGAGGTTTCTGATTCTAAATGTCCAATCCTATGTCAGACTAAGTAAGAGGTCTAGTTACAGAGGTTTCTGATTCTAAATGTCCAATCCTGTGTCAGACTAAGTAAGATATATATCTAGTTACAGAGGTTTCTGATTCTAAATGTCCAATCCAGTCTCAGGCTAAGTAAGATATATATCTAGTTACAGAGGTTTCTGATTCTAAATGTCCAATCCTGTGTCAGACTAAGTAAGATATCTAGATACAGAGGTTTCTGATTCTACAGATTAAATATGGTGTCAGACTTAGTGAGTGATCTGGTAACAGAGGTTTCTGATGCTTCAGATTAAATATGGTTTCAGACTGGGTTGTATATCTGGTAACAGGGGTTTCTGATTCTACAGGTCCAATTCTGTGTCAGATTAAGTAAGAGATCTGGTTACAGAGGTTTCTGATTTTACAGGTCATATATATATGCAGTGTCAGACTTGGAGGTTTAGATTACACACATTTCTTAATCATATATGGTTGATTTAGATGAATATAAAAATCAGTTATCCTTCACAAATAAATGTTGAAGCTACCAATACAATATTGAAAACAGGTTAATTTGAAGTATTTTTTCAATTCCCAAGGATTTCAATATAACTGGGTCTGACTGTACAAATATTAAATATAATAGTTCACATATCATTTTCTATTTTTTTTTACACAAGGCCATACTCGTGCTATTTCCTATGTATAGAAAAAACGCTTATATTATATCTATTGAAATTGATAACAGCATTTCTAATCTATACAGCAAACATCAGGTTACGACTGATTTATTTGTATCAATATTTAATAGTTTCCTGATCATGTTGTATGGGGCTCGTTGGCTTGTTTCAAGTTATTGTTCACTTACAGTTGTTTTATTTGAATATACATTAATGATGTTTTCCAGTTCATTGGATTCCATCTAGTTTTGGCTGATAATGAACCGTTTTTTGATTCAGTAATATTAAACAATTATCATGATCGACCTAGAAACTGACTATCAGTTTTTATTTAGAGTTACCCAATCATATCCTATTGATGTTATAACAATGAATAATTCAAGTGACCTCAAAATTGAAAGGTTTTGAAAATAATGCCAGGTTTGGTCTGACAATGACTGATTCTATTATCATGATCAGCAGCTGATTATAAATGGACATGAAAGACTTGTCATGACATCAATTAATGAATAATGTCACATGATGAAATTCTATGTCACAGTTGTTCTGATGGGACCAATGGAATGCACGCAAACAGTGGATACATTAATGGAGTTACCATGGAGTCGACATACAATATATGTTCACTATAAAAATATCTGCATCTGTCAAGCTCGCTTAGTTTCGGACAGGTTTGGTATACGAGGAGCAGTAATTCAAGTAAACAAGAAACAGCGACAAACTCAACAAAGTTTACGGAAGTTTGCTGTCTGTGTCATTTTAGGAAAAACAGCAAAATTAAATTCAACAAAAAATCTACAATTTTTTCCCCCCTGTCTGTGTCAGTATACGGGAGACAGCGTAACTCTACACATTCTTCTGCACAAGTTTTCAGAGGTGCCAATTTTGTGACTAAAGTTTGCGAAAATCAGCGTCATTGCACAAAGTCGTTCAAAGATTTTTGTTTTAAAAAAAACACTTTTGGTTGTAAAAACATTTACAAAGATTAGACGGTACAAACTGTGTTACACAGTACACTCGTTGGAGTTGTCAACAACTGAATTGTAGTTATCAACAACAGAAGTGTAGTTATCAACAACAGAAGTGGAGTTGTCAACAACCGAAGTGAAGTTATTTACAACAGAAGTGTAGTTAGCAGTCACTCAAGTGTTTTTTTCCAACAATAGAAGCTGTTAGCTCTTGGGGTGTTACCATCAAGTCAAAATGAATACACTATTGTTAGTATTACTGGCTGACATTATGACCTTTATCAGTGTGAGTTGTGAACTACCTGGTACTGTAGACTCTGTGAACATTACTGGCTTCAAAAGTATCTACCCCATCGGACTTAAACAGTGTGAAAAACAGTGTCTGTCACACAGAGATTGCCAGCTCTTGGTTTTTCAAGTTAGTAGTTTATCTTGCTATATGAGCTTAGGAACATTTACTGGTGAATCTGTAGGTACACGTTCAAAGGTCGTGGTTCGACAACGTACAGATATTCTGAACGGAGCAAGCGATTTCAATACTACTGCGGACAGTGTCTGTGTCACTTTATCAAGTGGAGAACTTGCCTGTGTGACGTCCCCCTGTGGCCCACCTCCAGAAGTTGTGAATGCCACAATCAATCTGGACACAAGTGTTATCGACTACAGCTGTAATGGCGGTATAAACAAAAGTTATACCGATCCTCCTGAGCCAATCGTGTGCAAGGCTGATGGACAGTGGACAACTCCAAATTTTGTCTGCACAGGTAACACTGTTATACTGGGTCCATCTGTTACACATTTACGTCATGAGGCACTGGACTACTGTACAAGTAGAGGGGCACATCTTTTAAGAGTAAAATCATTTGAACAGGGTACCTTGTTAATCACTAAATATCAGCTGTCAGGTGGGTATCACGTAGATGGAATGTATGTTGATGGTACGAGTTCCTGGATCTTCTCAGACGGTGACGCCATAAACTTAACTATGTTTTTCTATGGAGAAGATGGGCAAGGCCCCACTGAAGGATGTGTCGTGTGGGAAGTGAACCAATTTCAATCTATTCCCTGTTCGTCAACGATTCGCTTTAAAACTATTTGTGAAGTTGGATAATCTTTTTTCGGTTTCTTGTGTGTTTTACAAAGCCATTTTACATTGGCTATACGGCCCCATTTTCATAGTATCAATTTTCATGTATAGGCAGTGGAAATAGACCAAGGAAAAATTTATTGTGGCCAATTTTCATTGATTTTTTTTTTAAGAAAATAAAAACATGTGTAAGATAAATGATACAGAATGTTTTGTAGTCATTTGTATTGGTAATATAAGGGCCGTTCCACGAGGATCTGTCATAAGTTTCCCTTCATATTAGATTTATGATACTTGTTTTGGATTTAGCGAGCAAATACAAAAAATCCAAAACAACGTGATGTCACGTTGATTGTTTCTATTCGATTGTGATGTCATTTCCGGAATGAATCATTACACATGTTACATAAACATAATTTATCACATGATGTACTGTGTTATCCAGTGAATATACCAATGTCATATTTGTTTGCGTATTAACCCATGTAATATGACCTATCAGTCCTATGATTGGTTGAATTTAGTTTCAATTGTTTCAATTGTGACGTCACGCCTAGAACAAGTACATGACGTCATAGACTTACGCACTGGATTAAAAATGACGGCTTTTTACACTTCAAGGTTGCATGAACATTGTTGTTTTTCACGAATAAATGCCACAAATCATGATTATGTGATAAAAATGGTCTTACACTCGTTTTCATTTCATATGAACTTTTGGAACTCGTCACAAATTTTTCATTTTAGCTCGCCAGAGGATCGCTTAATTGAAAAATTCTTAGACTTGTTTCATAAAATTTCTTATGAAATGGAAACCCATGTAAGGTCCTCTATTTATGTGATGGCTTTATGACTCTGCATAACACATACAGTATTCATATGATAAAATCAATTCGGTCACTATAAATATCAGAAATCACTGTGTGATGATGTATGATGTTCAAAGTTGGATCTTTCTATTACATTAATTCTTTGAAGTACTCCCCCTTAACAGAAACACACTTTTACAATCACCCTATTCATGACTTTAACCCTGTGCGGTATAGTCTCCCCTTGGTAGTCTGGCAAGACACTGAAAGATTGCACTACCCAGAGCACTCCTAGAGGTATACGATCTCCCTGGGAGCATTCTCTTTAGTAAAGGAAAAAGGAAAAAGTCACAGGGACTTACCTCTGGTGAACAGAGTAAGTGGTCAATATGCTTTCTCTAGCTTCAAAAACACCTGTACAGTATTGTTTTTCAAAGGAGGAGGCGATCCCATATGAGTTAAGAGAGGGCCTATCAATTGGTTTATTATGCCCCCGCCATAATAGGGGGGGGGGGGGGGGGGGGGCATATAGTGTTGCCCATGTCTGTCCCGTCCCGTCCCTTCCCGTCCTGTCCCGACTCCCTTCCTGTCCCTTCCTGTCCCTTCCTGTACCGTTCCTTCCCGTCCCGTCCCGACTCCCTTCCTGTCCCTTCCTGTACCGTTCCTTCCCGTCCCGTCCCGACTCCCTTCCTGTCCATTCCTGTCCCGTCCCTTCCCGTCCCATCCCGTCTCTCTTCCTGTCCCTTCCTGTCCCGTCCCTTCCCGTCCCGTCCCGACTCCCTTCCTGTCCCTTCCTGTCCTGTCCCTTCCCGTCCCGTCCCGACTCCCTTCCTGTCCCGATTCAAAGTAAATACCCATCCTGTCATGTTGCGTCCTGTCCCGATTCAATGTAAACATTTAGCAACTTCATTCTTTGACAGATTTTGGTCAAACTTTATACAAAGGTCAAGTATGAGTATACTTCGAACACCGTTGTGTATCATAGTTCCAAGGTCAAGGCCAAGGTCACTGTTGCTATATATAGAAAATCATCAACTGATTCAATTTAAACACTTAGCAACTTCATTCTTTCACAGATTTTCGTCAAACTTTATATAAAGGTCAAATATAGGTATACCTCTGACATCCTTGTGTTTCAGGATGGTAATAATTAACATAATGTTTTGTCTGATGAATCATAAATGATATCTGACTTCACTGACATCCCACTTTCATGCAACCTCTTTATTTGATTGTACGAAGACCTTGTTTTACTTACATCTGGCTTGGCTGACAACCAACTTCACTGACACCCAACTCAACTGACACCAGACTTTACTGATACTTAGTTTTTACACAAGATTGTACTGACACATGATTGACTGACACCAGACATGAATGACACCAGACTTTATTGACACCTGACTTTTCTGACACCTGAGTTTACTGACACAACTTGATTGACACCTGGCTTTTCTGACACCTGAGTTTACTGACAAGTCTTTATTGACACCTGATTTTTTTGACACCTGACTGTACTGACACTTGACTTTACTGTCATTTGAGTTTACTAACATTTACTTTACTGACACTTGACTTTACTGACACCTCACTTTACTGACACCTGACTTTACTGTCACTTTACTTTACTGTCACTTGACTTTCCTGACACAAGACTTTACTGACACAAGACTTTACTGACACTTGACTTCACTGTCACTTTACTTTCACTTGATTTTAGTGACACCTGACTTTCCTGACACAAGACTTTAATGACACCTGACTTTTCTGACACCTGACTGTACTGACATTTGACTTCATTGTCATTTGAGTTTACTTACACTTTACTTTATCGACACCTGACTTTTCTGACACCTGACTGTACTGACACTTGACTTTACTGTCATTTGAGTTTACTTACACTTTAATTTACTGACACTTGACTTTACTGACACCTGACTTTACTGACACCCTACTTTATAGGCACCTGTCTTTACTGTCACTTGACTTTACTGTCACTTGACTTTACTGTCACTTGACTTTACTGACATCCCACTTTACAGGCACCTGTCTTTACTGTCTCTTGACTTAACTTACACCCCACTTTACAGGCACCTGCCTTTACTGTCATTTGACTTTACTGTCACTTTCTTTACTGACACTTGACATTACTGTCACTTGACTTAACTGACACCTGACTTTACTGACACCCTACTTTATAGGCACCTGTCTTTACTGTCACTTGACTTTACTGTCACTTGACTTTACTGGCACTTGACTTTACTGACATCCCACTTTACAGGCACCTGTCTTTACTGTCTCTTGACTTAACTTACCCCCCACTTTACAGGCACCTGCCTTTACTGTCACTTGACTTTACTGTCACTTTCTTTACTGACACTTGACATTACTGTCACTTGACTTTACTGACACCCCACTTTACAGGCACCCGTCTTCACTGTCACTTGACTTTACTGAGACCTGTCTTTACTGTTTCCTGACTTTACTGTCACTTGACTTTACTGACACCTGTCTTTACTGTCACTTGACCTTAATATCACTTGACTTTACTGTCACCTGACTTTACTTTCACTTGACTTTACTGACACCCCACTTTACAGGCACATGTCTTTACTGTCACTTGACTTTACTGTCACTTGACTTAACTGACACCCCACATTACAGGCAACTGTCTTTACTGTCACCTGACTTTACTGTCACTTGACTTTACTGTCACTTGACTTTACTGTCACTTGACTTTACTGGCACTTGACTTTACTGACATCCCACTTTACAGGCACCTGTCTTTACTGTCTCTTGACTTAACTTACACCCCACTTTACAGGCACCTGCCTTTACTGTCACTTGACTTTACTGTCACTTTCTTTACTGACACTTGACTTTACTTTCACTTAACTTTACTGACACCCCACTTTACAGGCACCTGTCTTTACTGTCACTTGACTTTACTGACACCCCACTTTACAGGCACATGTCTTTACTGTCGCTTGACTTTACTGACACCCCACTTTACAGGCACTTGTCTTTACTGTCACCTGACTTTACTGTCACTTGACTTAACTGACACCCCACTTTACAGGCACCTGACTTTACTGTCACTTGACTTTACTGTCACTTGACTTTACTGTCACTGGAAAAAAACTGAAAACCTGTAAAATAATGTCAGGGTGCAACAGTCGACTGTTGCACACTTACTGTTGCATGCTCGACAATCGTGTGCAAACAATTTCCCCCTTGGGCGGCCCCACTCAAGCGTCTTTTTGATACAGATTTGTTTGTTGTCGTCTGGTGAAAATAGCAAATAACGGCAGATTGGAGGATGTTTCTGAGCAAGATTTCAAATTGCTTATGGAAAATAGGGACTCTCTTAGTACAAAAACGTCATAAAGGGAGAGGTGGATATTTTTGTTAAATAGTGTGCAGAGAAGGTGTTATGATCGACAAAAGGTGCAGTAATGAACAACTGAACAAGTTTTTGAGTAGATTTTATGCAGAATTAAATCTTCTATCCTGTCATACAGTCATTTATCCTACCTAGCACAATTCAGGAAGTTTCTTAAATAGAGAGTCGGGTAATAAATCATTTGATTCATTGGTACTGGGGGAACAGTCAAACCATTGACCCGAGGTAGTAGGGAAGACCTAGGGAACTGTTGCCCAAGGTCGAGGGCAACAGTTCCCTAGGTCTTCCCTGCTACCGAGGGTCAATGATTCGACTGTTCCCCCAGTGCCAATGAAACAATTGTATACTGTCACCTGACTTAACTGACACCAGACTTTACTGACACCAGACTTTACTGAAACGGCACTTTACTGACACCGTGGTTTATTGACACCAGACTTTACTCACACATGAGTTTACTGAAACGGCACTTTACTGACACCTGACTTTACTGAAATGTCACTATACTGACACCTAACTTTACTGACACCAGACTTTACTGACACCAGACTTTACTGACACCTAACTTTACTGACACCAGACTTTACTGACATCAGACTTTACTGACACCTAACTTTACTGACATCAGACTTTACTGACACCAGTGTTTACTGACACCCAACTTTACTGACATCAGACTTTACTGACATCAGACTTTACTGACATCAGACTTTACTGACATCAGACTTTACTGACACCTGACTTTATTGACACCAGACTTAACTGACACCAGACTTTACTGACACCAGACTTTACTGACACCAGTGTTTACTGACACCTAACTTTACTGACATCAGACTTTACTGACACAAGACTTTACTGACACCAGACTTTACTGACACCAGTGTTTGCTGACATCCATCTTTACTGACATCAGACTTTACTGACACCAGACTTTACTGACATCATACTTTCCTGACACCAGACTTTACTGAC